ACCTACGCGGCCAGCCCGCCTGCATCGTGCTCCTTGGCTCCATGCTCCCCGAGACACACCTGCGTGGCCAGCCCGCCTGTGTCGTGCTCCTCGGCTCCTCGGCTCCATGCTCCCCGAAACCGTGCCTCCGCGGCCAGCCCACCTGAAAGCTGAAGCCATGCCTCGGACTCCCGTTACAACGACCGACGCATAGCTTCTTTCCGGGGGAGAATATGATGAGGATAGTAATTATGATAAGACTCGGCTAACGTCAGATGACGCCTCACTCAACAGCACCTGGTCGATGCTGACCGGAACGCCGATCGAGGTGCATTAACACCCTACTCAAGCTCAATTCCTCACGCCATGCCAACGTTGGTGTCAGACGCTACCAGCCTGCCCCCTACAAGCGGGCACATCAGGAAACAGTAAGCTTCCCTATAAATACCCTCTCGTTCATCAGAGAGAGAGGAGGGCAGAGACACAAAACCACTTCTTCTCCTGAAACCCCCTCCACATCCTCTGCTAACTTAATCGTCGGAGGGGTCGGGCCGAGCACCTCGGCCCGACCTTTGCGCAGGTGCGAAGCCGAAGGTCCCTGCCGGACGCGCAGGCGAGGAGTTCCTGCCTGGAGGAGACGGCCACACCATCCCAATCGGACGCCGCACCCAACCCCCTCAGCAGGCTCGAGGGACGCCCCAGGGAGATCCCCGTCGTCTGGACCCGAACCGAGCCGCGTCGGCCCCGAGGCCACGGCTCAAGGTTGTTTCCCACAACATAAGAAATACAAAATTATCATTTCAATATTTATCTCTATTATGATTCTTTATCATGCCCCTATAAAATTAAGCTTCCATTAAAGATGCTAATCTTAGAATGTTATAATTAAAAAATCCTAAGAGTGAGAAACTTTGTGAGGGACTCAGCTAGCCAGTCAAAAGTATCAACTTGAGAAACACGTAGTTGACGTCGGATAACTTGATCTCTGACAAGATATAAGTCGATAACAATATGTTTTATACGAGAGTAGAATATCAAGTTGGAGCATAGGTAGGTGGCATTGATATTATCACAGTATATTATTGGAGTGGATTGATGAGATGTCAAGTTTGTGAAATAGATTGGCGATCCCAGTTGATTTCTACAACAATGGTGACGATGACTTGGTATTCAACTTCAGTAGTGAATCTTGCAACCGTGTTCTATTTCTTGAAACTCCAACTCACTAAGTTTGCTCTAAGGAAGATAATGCATGTTGATGTAGATGTTCTATTATCAATATTGACTACCTAATCAGCATCAACGAAGACATGATGATGAATGGATGAGTGTTTATGAAGAAGTCCATATTTGAGAGTCTCTTTAAGATATCACAGTATACATTTTTGTATAGACCAATATGCAGTGGAGGGCTGATGCATGAATTATGATAATTTATTGACTACAAATGAAATGTCTAAATGTCTAAGAGATAAATACTACAACGAACCAAACAGTTGTCGATATTGTATAAGATCCATAATAGGACTGCATTATATAATTCATTATATAATTTGAGTGATTTAGTAGAGGAGACTAGGGTGGCAACTTTTTTGATATTCTACATATTTATCTTCAATAATAGATCTCAAATGTACTTATATTGATATAAGAAAAGTCTAGATATGAATATTGCTTCCACATTCAAAAAAATAACTTAAGGTTCTTAAGTCTTTAATGGAGAATCGATATGTCAATTGCTTAAAAAATTGCTTGATCTCAATAGAATTATTACCTATGATGATAATGTCATTCACATGAATCAGTAGATATATAGTACATCAGTTTTTTTTATCGTAAGAATAAAGAACCGTCAAATTGACGAAGTCGGTTGACATTAAAAATAAGCCAAATTTGGTATACCAAGCTCTTGGAGCTTAGTGAAGTCCATAAATAACTTTTCATAGTTTACAAACATAGTCTAGATATTGAGGATTAATAAAGTCATGGGGTTACTGCATAAATATATTTTCAATTAAGGTCCTTTATAAGAAAACATTATTAATACCTAGTTGATATACATGCCAACCTTAAGTGATAGTCAAACTCGGGATAATTCAAATTATCATTAATTTAATAATTAGATTAAAGATCTTTGTGATATTAATATTTGATCGTTGGAGAGACTCTTTAGTCACTAGACATATTTTGTTTCTAGTAATGGATTCATTTGGATTGTGCTTAATTCAAAAGATTCACATATACTCGATGATATTTTATATGAGGTGAGATGATCTAAAGGTATATATAACATTATAAAGTATGGTCATATTTGTCATATATAATTTTGCTTCTATGTGAAGATTTTTGAGCGTAGGTGATGCTTATGAGTTTAATAGAGTCAGGTTGAGAACTTGTTGTAGAATGAAGATTAAAGATTTGACATGGTTTGAGGATGTTATTTTTGGACCGTGTTGTCATATGATGTTCAGTCTTAATGGTATTATTGGGTTATATTGATGATATGCGAATTAGTGAAGAGCTGACAACACATACTTGATGAAACTAATGCACTTTGGTATCATTTGACCGATGAGAGATTAAAGATATCATTTGTGGTGCTGAGAGTATTGCTTCATTAGGCATTGCAAAGTGAGTTGGTAGAGAGGTAGATAGAGAAGTTACAGAGAAGGTGAGGTGCTACTGAACTAGAGTACTAAAGGGGTATATGTTTAGATAAGAACTACTAGTTGATGTGGTAAAAGATGCGTTTGAGTGGGTGGGTTTAAGGTATCAGTGGAGCAAGAGTTTTGGTGGTCGGAAGAGAGAGCATGCTAGAGTAGAAATGGATTAAGGGTAGATCTATAGGACGTCTGACCTATGACGTTGATGATGGCCTATACTGAGGAACACGTCGTTGGCTGTGAGTTGAAGAGAAGGGAGTATTGCTTGCAATGGTAGAAGGTAATCGATGGAGAGCAACTTGAACCAAGAGCCATAATTGTTACTATAGCGAAAGCAGTGACGAGAAATAAGGGAATTAAGAGGAAGTAGGGAGATTTTGATCACAGAGAGCAATCAGATCAGGTAGACAACATTGTAGATGTCCTATTCACTGGATCTGCAGTGGAGAAGAACAAAGGATGACTCTGTAGCAACATAGAATAGTTATAAGGGGGAGATGACAGTTCACCGAGTACTATAAAGAATTTACTGTGAAAAAAATGATAATATTATTTATTGAGATAATATATATTTATACATAATTTAAGGGAGAGATTTTCCTCGATCATATATTTAAATCATGCATATATATCATAATGATTAATTTTGACTTGATTGAAGATCAAAATATATAAATAAAATAAAATTATCATTCCATATTATCTTTTTTCACAACTCCATCACTCTTTCTAAATGAGATCACAATGCTCTCCTTCCAAGCAAAAGAGACCATGGAGTGACGAGACAGGAAACTTTGAAGAGCCACTTGCAACCTGTTCATTCCGAGTTACTCTACGGCCTATGTAGAGGAGAGCTGACGAGGAAGCAGTGTCTTGACTCTGCCATTGTTAACTGCAATGGATCGAGAAGATCCATTGGTGGTTTTCCACATCTACAGGTCTTAAAATTTGACCGAGTGAGAAGATCTAGTCTCCAACTTCATTTTCACGGTTGATGGACCAAGCTAAAGCAAGTAAACTCAGAATCCTACAAGGTCAATGAAACCAGAGAACGTGCTAAACACTCCTAGGTCAAAGTCAAGGTCAAAGTCTTCCTCTTCCGACTCGGTCAAATTTCTACCCCTATTGCATGCTATAAGTGCGCTATGGGTATCCAACCCTTCTTCCTCACTACCTTCTTGCTTCCAAGCCTAATTACCAGTTCTACTTAGCTAAGATGGCGTCCGCCAGCATCGACAGCTACCGCAAGGGCGCCATGATCTACCGCGGGGATACCATCTGCAAGAGGAGGTCGATCGAGCTGCTCGAGGAGCTCGGCCTGCCCAAAGGTCTGTTACCCCTGGAGGACATGGAGGAGTTCGGATACAACCGGGAGACCGGATTCATATGGCTGGTGCAGGGGAGGAAGAGGGAGCACACCTTCAGGAAGATCAAGCGGCAGGTGTCGTACGCCGCCGAAGTGACGGCCTTCGTGGAGGAGCGGAAGATGAAGAAGATGACGGGGGTGAAGACCAAGGAGCTGCTGCTGTGGCTCTCCGTCGTCGAGATGTACGTCGACGACCCCTCGTCTGGGAAGATCACCTTCAAGACCGGCACCGGTTTGTCCGACAGCTTCCCTGTCTCCGCCTTCGAGCTGCAGCAGTGAGGCATGGAAATATGACATGTTACCGTCGTTTTATGCGTCTAATGCTGCCGTACCAAATGAAAGTTTGATCTAAGGTTCTTAAAATTGCAGATTGGCCCCTCCAAAATTATATATATATATATATATAGTTAATTAATGTGAATCATTACAATGACATTTGCAAGTTTTTGAGCTTTGCAAATATATACATGCCAAACCAGAAAATAAAAATAAAAATTCACCAACTTTAATGTCTATATATATTATGGTGAAAATTAAATTGAGATCTAATTTGTTTATAATCGAACACTAGAAAATTTACCATTAGCATAAAGCTGCGATTTACTGACCTAGTTGGCCTTGTCGTGATTGTCACATTGAGACTTGGAACCCATTCCTAGCGAACATGAAGTCGATCGTAATAAGTTGACTCGATGGATTGACTGACCTAGTTGGCCTTGTCGCGTTGACCCATCACGAGTGTGATCTATCTGATCTGTTTCTCTGTGCAACTTAAGGCCTATCCAAGAAGATCAAGTTGAATTATTCGATGTTGTGATTTGCATATGCTTATTTAGGATGAGACACATGATTAGAAGACGCCATCAAGTGACTATGGTTTAAACCAAAGAGAAACGAACATCACAAAAGATACTACACTTCAATTTAAAGAAATACATTAAAAAATCTTTAAGTATATATATATATATATATATATATATATATATATATATATATATCACCGTAGTGTCACAACTAATCTTGGTGTCCTTAAGTTGAAAAGAAGATTCTTTCTACTTTATGTGGTCTATGAGCTTGGCAAAGTAAGAACATATTCTTATCTAATCCGTGCCTTGTCATTGTTTTCACATTTTGCTGTCTTTCCTTGTTCTTTTTAAACACCATGCCCGTCTATGAATTGAGATTTATTTAGATGATTCTGAGTCAAATTTGATAGGGCACATTATGGAGCATCCTACGAGGACCTAACCCCCACCACATCAGCTCGAGCATAAGACCTCGGGAGGGAGATAAAGCCATGACAGATGTGTCGTCGATAATCCGGGATGCAACAATCATCTCCCCACGCTGTTCGACGCCACACTAACTAGTCCTACCGAAACAAGGATCATCCCGGGAAACCCAGGACGACGACGCATGGCATCGTCCCATGTAACCCAAACATTGAACACTCGAAGGTACATTCCCCAGGAGTCACAATAAAAACCCCTTGCCAGCATCTGACGGGGGGCATGAGAACATTAGCAGACTACTGACTCAAGCTTCGGAGGGGCTCAAGTCAGGATCATCTCCATCCCGACCTAGGCCTGTGTGTAGGAATCCAGGTGCAGCAATGACGAACGAGTTCGAGGGAGAAGCGCGTCGCCACCAAGTCCAATCTCGACCCGACCGATCGAGATTTTCGCCCTCAGGACGATCTTGGACGTCGCCAGTCAGATCAAACCGTGTCGACAACGCAATCATGGCTCGAGGTTCGTGGAACATTTTGGCGCTAGAAGGAGGGTTGATGTCGCAGGAACGTTTTGCAGCCGACGAAGAAGCTCGCCTCACCGAAGAACCACCGACGATCTACAACACCCATGGGCCCGGAGGGTAGTCGCCGACCACTCAAAGGGATACGGGCTATCACGGACTTAGCTGGTTTTGCCTAAGTCATGCGACACCCTTGCGTGTCCGTCCGTAAAGGTCAGCCTCCCGAAACCTCCCATGGTCCCTTAGGACATACAAAATAGAAAACGAGTTAGAGAAATCGCCTCACTCGGGATTCACAAGCAAACATTCTAGGAAACACTTCATAGATAATATAAATTATAAACAGACTTTATAAACTCTGAACAGTTGCACAATAAAGGGTCAAAATGGTCCACTACAGACCGAAAATCTCTCATAAGTGTCCACATGACATAATATTTATTTGCAAGCCTAAAGCGGCTACCAAACCCAACTAAAATAAGACTATTAAGCCTTCGGCTGTCCCTCTACATGTTGTGTAAAGTATGAACATACCAAAAGACACAGGCATACATAAGCATTATATCAAACATCATGTTTAGAAGTTTGTCCGTGATAGGGCATTGTAACCCAGACATTGGATCGCTGCTATTGGCACCTATTCAACGATCCCAGGCTCTCCCCCCCCGGAGATACTATGGGACCCTCGGTCGTCTCACCCGAGGCGTTCCTCGGTCTCACAAAGCAAATGCAAACCATGGCCGGAATGATGCAGACAATCGCCTCGCTTATCCTGCAACTCCTACAGTTAGTGGCTCCTCCCCCATCCCTACCCACCTTCACCTCGTAGTTGCCCTATATCCCTCCAACTAACCCGATGGCACAAATCATGACCCATAATGAAATTGAGGAACGAGTCGGGGCGAGAGCTCCGAGAGTGTCGCCCGACCAAAGCGCACCTACATCCCATCAGGTACCCCCGCTGTAACTCGAGCCCGATACCCTGTCATTGGACTTGGCGGATGACTCATTTAGAGTCCAGCTGTCTACAATGAATCGTCGCCTGCATGAGTTCTAGCGAGAAGTCCTCGAGTCCCGAGGTGAAACCAGAGAAAGTAGCGCGAGAAGATCCCCTTTTGCTCAAGAGATCCAGGATAAGCATGTGCCGCTCAACTTGACTCCTAGCATTGGAGACCTACGATGGTGGTTCCGACCCAACGGAACATGTCGCTGCATTCCGAGCCCAGATGGCTCTCTATGGCACCTCCGATGCCCTAATGTGCTAGGCATTCCCCACTACCTTAAGGGGGCCAATGCAGACATGGTTCAGCCGACTACAACCATCCTTGGTCTCGACCTTTGACCAGCTCGCAAGAGAACGTATAGGCCGACGCCCTAGCCCGACTAGCCTCCTCCCGCAACTCGGGGGAACTCCTGTTGAGAACCGAAGTCCTCTCGGCCCCGACGATCTCGACCGAGACCGTCACTACAACCGAAGTCACTCCGAACTAGATGGACGAGATCCTCCATTATAAAAGGGAAGGAGCGCAACCTGGTGATCAAGCCGTCACCCGCCGACTCCAGCACACGTAGGCATGGTACTATGAAGTCAGTGGGAAGCTATACCGAAGAGCCTTCTCCCAACCCCTCTTATGCTGCTTGGCGCCACTCGAGACCGAAACGATCCTCGCTCAGGTCCATGAAGGCATTTGTGGGGAACATGTCGGCGGTTGAACCTTAGCCTTCAAAGTCCTCAGGCAGGGGTATTACTGTCCGACCCTACATCGGGATGCACTGTCATACGTGCAACGATGCCAACAATGCCAGAAAGCATGCCCGAATACAACACCAACATGCGGTTCCTCTTACCCTGATGGACGTCGCCTGGCCTTTTGCCCAATGGGACCTCGACCTCCTCGACCCCTTTCCCCCTGCATCTGGACAAAGGAGATTCCTCATAGTCGGGGCAGATTACTTCATAAAGTGGATCAAAGCTGAGCTGCTGGTATCCATCACTAAAAAGCAGGTCGAGGGATTCGTCTGGAGGAACATCATCACCCGGATCGAGATCCCATAGGCCATCATCATCGATAGTGGAGCCCAGTTCAACAACGCCAAATTCAAAGCCTCCTGCCAGTCCTACGGGATACAATTGAAGGTCAGCTCAGTCGTGCACCCCCAAACCAACAACCAGGCCGAAGCCACAAATCTAGCCATCCTGGAGGGCTTAGAAAAAAAGGGTGACTAAGGCTTATGGGGCATGGGTCGATGAGCTCCCGAGCGTTCTATGGGAATCTCGGACCACACCCAAAACGACCACGGGGGAATCCCCATTCAGCTTAGCATATGGAACCGAGGCAGTCTTGCCACCCGAAATGGTGTTCCCCACCCTGCGCATCGAGAACTTCGAAGAAAACACCTCGGAGGAAAGCCTCCGGGCAAACCTCGACCTGCTCGAAGGAAAAAGGGCCGAGGCACACCTCCGCAACTTGGCGTTTAAGAAGCTCGTGGCCCAATCTACAATCATAATGTCCGGCCCCAACAAATAAAAGCCGGAGACCTCGTTTTACGGAAGGCTGAGGTAAGTGACCTGACCCGAGCTAAAGGGAAATTGGCCCCAAACTGGGAAGGACCGTACCGAGTCTATGATGTGGTCCGAGAAGGAACTTACCGCCTCAAAACCATAGAGGGAAAACCTCTACCAAGGACATGGAACACCGCAAATCTCAAAAGGTTTTATCCTTAGGCACGTCGGTATGTCAAAAGCATAAACATGTTTTCCATAATTCAAAAGGCACGTACATTATGCTTGGTCCAAGTATTATAACTCAAAAACTCAACCCGACCAAGGGACAGAAGGAGAAAAAAAAAAAAAATACCCCTCAATTCAGGGGAGCCTCTAGGCTATCATCGAAAGGGACCTCGTCTGGCATCCCGACGTTTTGGTCCTCAGGAAGATCGATGAAGGGATCCGACTCCACCTCCAGGTCGGGACACTTCGCCCGAACGCGAGCGAGGGCGACTCAGAACCCAAACTCATAAGTCACTTGGCCCGACCTCGCCAAACCAAGCTCGAACCTCGGGGACTTCTTGTATTCAGAGATAGCCTCTTTCACTCTTTCAGGTGCTAGCCGACGCTCCTCGGCCAAAGCCTCTTCCACCGCCGGGGACGTAGACCGTGTAGCTTCGGCGTTCCACGAAAGGGTCAATAGCTCTCATCCAGTGCCCGAACTCGCCCCTGACTCTCCTTCAATTGACGTTGGGAATCGACCAGCTTGGCCTTTAGTCGTTCAACGCTTCCAAATCCATGGCACACTGCTCGACCGCCGCCACAACCGTTAGACCAGGCCCACCTTTTAGCTCCTCAATATCTCGGTGAAGGCCCGAGTTCATCTCGCCCATGCGTTCAATCACCCTACCAGCATCATAAACGCGATCGATCAAGGCCATGGTGTAATGTTGACCTTGCTATCATGGACAAAATTCTAAACAGGATGTTTGATGTAATACTTATGTATGCCCGTGTCTTTTGATTTGTTTATACTTTGCAAAGCATGTAGAGGGACGGTCGAAGGCTTAAAAACCTCATTTTAATTGGGTTTGGTAGTCTTCTTAGGCTTGTAAA